AAATGCCCTCGAGAAAAAGAGACTCTGTTTTCGATAAACAGAAAATACAGTTTGCACTCTTAGCCTCTTTGTCATCACAAAAAAAGGATTTAATGCCAATTCTTTAAAAAAAAGACTTTTTTTCACAAAATGTGCACCTTGTGTGCCATTTGTAAAATCAGCTCACTTTCTTTTATTTATTACTGCAGCGCGGCAAGGCAATAAAGCAGCTACTGATAGCTAATAAATTACATGCCTTTTAAAACAATTCTCCAGCTACAAAAACTTGTAACTACAAAGGCTTATATTTACATGGTACATCATGTGAAATGTCTGTATTTACGTTCTATTTAACCACATAAATAAAATCTGACCCTTTATTAAACAGCTGAGTATGACACAAGGGCTACATGACACATTAAACAAAGGGAAACTTTTTAAAGCTTTCCTGCAGATTTACATAATTAAGCATAAAACTTAACAAAAAATTGGCCTCAGTGGTTCAGGTGAAAAATATTTTTTAAATAAAACATATTTTTAAGTGTTTCCTTTAAGCTTCAGGGGAAAAAGTGATCACCAATTTTTCAATTATTGCATGGTAACACTGATTTACTGCTGGTTCTAAATATTACAGAAGGTTTTCAGTAATAACTGCAACATATTACTGCTATGTAAAACAACAATTCTCCATCACATACAAGAAAACCAGGATTTGTATTTTTAATTAAACTAAATATCAGAGCTTTGGGAAAGCATTTTTCGGTTAATAGAGATTTAAAACAACAACAAAACCCCTGCAGTCTTATTTCATCCTATCTCGCCAAGAAATCCTTTAAATCTATACATATCTATTAAACTCATTAAACTGCTCTGAAATATATTTTCTTGATGACTGGCCCAGCAATCCCAGCTAATCTGCACAGAATGCTGAGGTGCATTACCTTTTCCTTTTCTACCACGTTATTTTTAGGCTGATATGCTCAACTATCTTCATACAATTGTTCCTTACAATTTGATTGTCTCATAAATCATTAAACTAAGCATTACTTTCTAATTGTCTCTATATCATCACGCATCTCAATTTAAGACATGTAGTTCTAATACTAATTTCCTCCACTCACAGTTATTTTTATAGCATCTGTGGCTTTGGTTTTGCTTTGCTCATGCAACTTTTTCTCATTGCTGTTATTCCAAAATAGCAGTTCTTTAATTGAGCATGAAAAGAAACCTTAACTTCCCCCTAATAAAACATTTAAAATATTGCTTTTCAATTGTAGAATAATAACCCCTGACATGTTAGCGCAGACGCCGCGCGATTCCCAATTCCTCACCAAGCACACCACCATCACTATCATTCATTCTGAATGGAGATGCTTTGGGCAGATCTTTCAGTCTGACTGAGCATTGCTTGACGCAAAATGAGATGGGAAATAGTTCCCAGACACTTTTCTACTCCCTTCATCCTAGGGCCACCTTTTCCTATAGAAACCAAAGGTTTACTTTGCTAGTATGTGTTTTCTGGTATTCTGCTCATGTCAGCAGAACTTAAAATATCAAGACAAAGACATTTGCATCTAAAGCAGACAAAAAGGAGGTTTAACAAACCAAGTGGCCAGCACAGCAAAGCCAAACCCATGGTTTCCTAACTCAGGTTAGTCTACTTGTGAGGATGAAATATAGGTGCAATTTTAAGATGGTAGAGAATTATGAGTGAATGGAGCCTGGTGTGTCTGTGCCAGGAGAGGAGCTAACAGGATGCCTAGAAAGCACTGCAAAGAGAGGAGAGACAATTTCACAAGAGTCCTAGAAACAGTGGTTTGGTTCAAGAGGAGTTACAGGTATATTTAAATTAAAAAAAAAACCCCAAACCAGTGATACCTGGACACTGAAAATTCAACCACTCCTAATTTCACCCAAGAATTTAAGCTAAACCACAGGACACTGAAAGCAAGTAAGAGCTTAGGAAGAAGGAGTGACATCGTCTGGCCTATGAACACAGAAAGCATCCGAGAGGTGTATTTGGAAAAGAAAGATGTCAATATCAAGCTTTAGTTGAAAATAAACAACTATAAACGTAGCCAGAGCATACTGTAAGTTAAGGAATTCCAAACACAAAAACAGTGTACAGGTAACAGAAAGAGATCCACCTCTGGATCACCAATAGGGAACAGAATTACAGATACGTGAGTATTTATTGAAAAGCTTACAAAACTAATAAAACCTAATGAAACTGATCAATCAAAATTGCTCAAGAATCTTGATCAATAATTACTCTCAGTAACTCGTGGGACGTTTCAGACTTCAGCCTCTGATGTTAAAGTCTTCTGGGAATAAAAAGGGTGACACTCTGAAGTTGCGTCCAGAAAAACATACAGCCTGGACTGTCTTGGCTCTGGTTGGAGTATTCCAGACTGTCATTCAAGTTATGAGGGGAAAATAGAGAACAAAATAAAAAAAGGCAATCTCATCCACCATTTGACTTAGTCACACTAGAGTGAATGCAGCAACGAACGCAGCGGTTCATGTTAAAGAGTCAAGAAGCAACACAGGATGACCTAATGGGCAGCACCTATGACAGCCTGACATCATACACACACGTCTGGGGTACTGCACGACTCGGAAGCGTGGCCACACCACCTACATTCTGGATGCAGCCTGTCATGCAATGTCATCTTTTTACAGTATGACTGATAGTGATGGTCTTTAATAACATACACTGCGATATTTTGGTTTGTTTTGCAGACCTCTTAAGCAAATGAGATAATCAAATCTACGCAAACATGATAGATAACAGAACGCTCTCAGGCACCACTAATCTCTACAGCCACAGAATGTGACACACTTCAGAAGCAAAGAGATCCACTAAGGTGTACTGCCAGCTGCTGACTCACACTTATCTTAAGGGATACTGCAAACCTAATTTTTTAGCTCCAACAGCACATACATTTAGGTGATTACATAAAAATCTAAATAATCTTCTAAATCTTATTGCTGTTCAGCAGATCAGATCGAAATTGGTTATTAAAGAAAATGCATGAATCAGAAAGTACTTGTGCTGTTAAACAGCTCATTCAAAGAAGGTCTATTCCACTAATGCTATATAAACTATAGGCTCCTGTGCATATTCTTACAAAATCTAAAATAATATGATTTTATATCCACTTACACACAAAAGTTTCTACGTATCTTGAGATAAGCCACACTATTGTGTAGATGATATCTATACAAGTCATTTAATACTTAAATTGATATAAAAACCCTGTTTCAGAAATAAAACTTTTGTTCCCAGAAGACTTCTTTCTCAATAGAGCTACATGCCTCAAGAAACAACTCGTCAGTACTGAGAATGCTCTGGAGAAATAATATGGAACCTCCCTCATGGCCTTCCTAACTGCAGTTCTTTTGATCCAAATTGATGCCAACTACTGACTCTTCCAAGAAAGAAGATACAGATGAAACTTGTGTGGAACAGATCACTGAAATACTGTTGGGTGTTCTTTCTCCTTGCTTCGAAAGAATGGCAAATGGCAGAAGACAGACACCATTTGTCTTCCTATGATGTTTAACAAAAGTGCAGGTTAGTCTGAGAAGAGCATTTAAAATATATATTCTTGTATGTAAATAGATCTCTATCAGGACAACATTACTAACAGTTTTGGATTACTCCATAAGCACACAAAAGTAAGAAAGAGCTCTGAATAGTCTGATGAAATAAATTTGGGACGATGTATCTAATGAAACGTGAAGTACAGTCCAAATGCTGTCTGTTCTCCAAGTATGATTTCAGGATATGGAAAATGGTTATATGCAATGTAACAGCCACCACTACCCTAGCCCTTGTGCTGTCTGGGTGACACAGCTAGATCATTGCTCCTTCGCTGCTTGGATGCATGAAGATGAACTAGATGCTCTGCTTTTTATTTATCCAATTAGATACAAAAATCACATGCTGGTACTCATGAAGTCTGACTGATACTGATGAAGTCTAACACAGACGTAAAGCAGAGACTCGAGAAAATGTTTATCTGCAGTTTTGTTTTAGCTGAAATACATGTTTTCATAAGGGGAAAAAAACCAAACTCCTTCCTAGTTCAAGCACTCCACATACAAAACCAAGTCATACTGCTTTAAATATTAAGACTACCAGAGTCTCCCATTTTTTGAACACATTATACACAAGCTAAGGAAGGCATGTTGCTCCTGTGGCAACTCTAGATGCTATAAAGAGGAACATTCAGCAATTAACAATAAATTAGCTCTTAACTTTGCTGTATGAAAGAAAGGGAGCTCTGACAGCTTTAGAACATCTGTGAATAAAGGAGACAGTTGGCCATAAAGTGTTCCACTAGGTCATCATAAAGTATGTCAGTAAGACTCAGAAAATGTTACTCCTTTTTGTCACCCAACTTCATATTCAGTGCTTTTGGCAAAATATGTTCAAACAAGAAGAGTTTCCATACTATTATTTATTACCTATCTTCACTCATCTGTTATCAACTTGAAAACAGCTAGAGATTTCTTCCAGGGTGAAAGTGCTGCTATGATGGGTTATATTCCTAAGGACTGTTGAAAGAAATTTATTAAATGTCTTAATTCTGCCACTTTAGTTCCCGAGCTATAGATTAAAATTGAGAAGGGGCTATTTTTCTTGTTTGGCCCCAAATAAACAAACACAGACTCTTCTCACCTCACTCCCCAAATCTATTCCCAGAGCCATCATTATATTAAAAATGAGCCAAGACTTGACTTACAGATGAGTAATATCACAGTAAAACAGTCATAACTATATCTCAATTCCAGCCTGATGAGCTCCAGTTCAGGTTTGCATTGCACTCTAACCCCAGAAAAGATGAAGTGGTGGAAATGAACAGTAGTATCATGCCATACTCCATACTGTTATAGCTGATGCCTCATAATATGTGTGACTGCAGCTAAGAGAGGACTGTGCTTTTTAACTACTCTCTTCTCCTTCCCATCAGCATCACAATGTAATTTAAGATGGCTTTATAGGCATCTCTTACCTTAACATTGGAATGTCTTTTAAATGAACTATACCAGACAGGAACCAGCACCATGCCCTCACGGCAGAAAGACGAACAGTGAGCTGGGCTGCATTAGCCAGAGCACCTCCAGCGGGCTAAGGGAGGTGATCCTTCCCCTCTGCTCAGCACTGATCTGGTCAAACACATTCTGTATAAGAAAATTACATTTTCTTGTAACTCTTACTTTTAAGATAGTTCTGTTTTAACCGTTATAAATTTTAAATTTAAACCAATCAGATTTAAATCCGTTTTAAGTTTTTTTCTCTGAGATTTATATGAATCACTACTTCATGTGCTAAAAACTCTACATTAAAAATTAAGAGAGACAGGAAAAAAGTTAATATGGATTTCTGGATTTTAATATGGAAGATGGGTGAAATCTTTCTGCATATTCCACAGCTCAGTCAAGGTCTGGGGTTGAGAAGTCACCTCTTCTTACTTTGTCTTCCTCTGATTCACGTAGTAATAACTCTTGTTCAGATGCCGTCTCCTATAGTAAGTGCATTGGGTCTTCATCTTCCTTCACTGCACAGGTTGCTCTTTGTGCCTCTTGTTTGCTTTTACCCTGGCGTACAGGGGCAACCGATATTGGCAAGAACTGGCCATTCGGTTTAGCTGCAGTCACTATCACTGTGGTTGGAGTAGCTGCAGTGTCTGTTGCTGGGGTTGGTACAGTTGCTGTGCTTAGGGGTTGAGTAACACCAACAGCTAGCTGCATTGTCTGTTGCTGTCAGTCAGGGTTTGGGTAGCTGGTTTGGTTGTTCCTGGGGTTGGTGTAGCTGCTCTGCTTGGAGTAGCTGCATTGTCTGTTGATTTGTCATCAGATCCAGAGACAGTTTTATCCCTTTGAAGGTGCTAGATAGTGTTGAGCAGGGCTCTGTAGGCGTAGGCCAAGCCCCAGCACGTTGCCATGATTTGTCCCTCTCTGGTATAACCAGGACGACAGCACACCTTGTTCAAGTGGTTTACTAGTTTTTCTGGATTTTGCACTTGTTCAGTGGTGAAGTTCCAAAGCACTGGAAGGGCCCACTGGCCCAGATACCTGCCCATACTATCCCACACACCCTGCCACTCATGACCGTCCAGCCTTGGGGAGAACCTCTTGGTGGTCCTCCTATACTGTCGTCTAACCCTAGACCAGATTTGAACCC